CTGTAGAGATGAGCGAAGGACGTAGGCTTAGAAAAGAGTCCCCCGCTTCCTCCAATCTGTTTAACTCTTGCCCCGTCCTCACTGGAACCCAAGTTCTTGTGTTCTGCCTCTAAACCCTAACCCCACACTCAAACCCTACATATTTTCCCTTATACTAAATCTACAGCAGCCTCCAAATTCTACCTGCTGTGTGGCTTTTCATGCCTATCCTTTAAAGGTTTTAGAGTGCTGGACCTAAAGACCCCAGCTTAAAACGTTTCCCAAATCCGTGAGGTCACTCGCCTGCTGGCACTTCCTCCATAGTTTCTCGAAGGTTCAACCCACTTTAAATGCTCTTTCACCCAAACATTTTGATTGCATTTCAGTCATCCCCCTTGTTCTTTTCCTACCACCAGTTTTACCATTGCTGTAAGTGTTGACTTTGTACCAGGTTCCTGGTAGAGAGAGGAACCCTCCTAGAAGCCCTCTTTTCTTCTAGGTAGGGAGACCAAGCTGAAAATTATTCCACATTTCTCATTCCTTAAGTCCACAGGGCCCCCAAAGTCCTCTGACTCCCATCCTGTGAAATCCCCAGATCCCTTCTCCTCCACTCACATCCGTGGACCCCAGGCTCTGTCCTCCTCAAAGGGGTTATAAAACACTGAGCTCACTACGTGAATCACACTTGAGACCCCAGTGAGACCTTTAAATTAAACAACGTGCTTCTAAATTAAACAGGCTTGATCAGACGAAAGCTAGGACATAGGCTTACCAGATAGTCAAACAATCTGTATTCAAATCATCTGAGTATGACAAAAGACAGGAACGTCATTATTTAATCTAGAGAAGGCAGAACTGAAATGGATGTAGTGGAGGACAACTTCCCCATAAGTAATTTTCTTGGCACGTTCCTCCAAAAATACAATACAAAACAAAAAGACTAAGACATTTGGGAAATAGAAACTCCTAAGAGAGTCACAATTCATATCAGCTTATTAAAAGCTTCGAGAAGTTGTACCTTAAAGAATCAGGTTTTTCTCTTGTTAACCATGTATTTTCCCAAATTATTTGATCACACAAGAGAGTAAGCCCTCTAGGAGATAGCATTTCATATTGTCTCTCTTTGTATCCCCCTGGATCTAGCTTATCTCTGGAACTTAGAAGGTACCCAATTAAATACAATTTAAATAGAATTATCATTTCAGATCTCTACAGGAACACCTTCTGCAGAGGGCTGTGACATATTGCTCTTTAGTTCTGCTGGACTTCCAACTAGGGAAGAGATAGCAAAACAGAACTAAGAACTTTCCTGCAATTAAGTTGAGTGATTCAGGGGATGGGTGTGATAGAAAAGTTAGCAAATCCCATTTCTTGGACTCCTGTACTCACAGAGCACAGAAGCAGAGAAAAGGACAAGATGATCTCGGAGGACATTTTCTGGTGTGGAGACAGTTCAGAAAACTTTCAACTCCTTGACGAGTTGAACCCTCACCTTCTCCCCTAGGGTTCCATCCATGCCCACTCCCCACTTTTGAGCCTTTGGCACAGGAAGGAGACAAACTCACTCAAACTCCCACATTGGTAATTTGAAGAGACAGACTCAGTAGAAAATGGCTGTTTGCAAACCCGAGGGTGTGTGAAAAAGAGAAAGCTGAGAACTGAGATGGAAGCATGTCGCTTGCATCTGGGCCTGGGCAGGGAGGCCCAGCTGCTCGGCCCAGAGCAGCGTCTGTGAACAGCAGCTTCTCCATCCTGGGACAGCCTCGCCGGGCAGCTGTCCTGGCTCTGCCCCAGGTCTGGCTGGCAGCCTGCCAACTAGCTCTCAGTTCTATAGCTTCAGAACTCATGCCCAGCCCCAGCTCATCTGTTTGATGACACCTCAGTGCTTACTTATCAGTGTTATCAGGTTACATGTCTGGAGGATAATATCACGCAAAAGCAATTTTTACTTAGCTTTGCAAAGGCCAACAGGTTTTTTTTTTTTTTTCCCTAACGCATTCTCTCTCATCTTCCTAGTGCTTTCTTACCAAAGATCCGTCACTTAATATTTTCGTTTTCTGTAATAAACCACACATGGGTACATGAAAGAAGAGAAAAACAGTGTATGTACATATTATAGGTTTCTAGACCCAAGAGAATCTTAGAAAATATTCCTCTATTTGTCAGAAGAGGAAACTGATAGCCAGGGAAGATAAGTAACTGTCATATAGCTAGTGTTAAAGCCAGATGGCTTTTTTACTCCCAGTTCAGTGTTTTTACTAGATTTCATAAAGCACGGAGGGAGGCCACCCTAAAATGACAATCTGGCCATGTGATAAAGTGTTGAACTGGTGAATCGCATGGGCAGCAGAGAGCTAACTCAACATCTCAGATGGTTTAAGGGTTTTTATTTTTAACCAAGAAAAAAAAAATGAACAAAATCTCCTAAAAACCTCCTGAAATCCTGAACTGCATCTAGCAGAAAAAGGACAATTGGTCAAAGTTTCAGGAAGCCTGTGGAATATATGATCAGAGAACTTTACAGTGTCAACTGAGGCTCTTAACGTTATTAAAGGACAGAGGAAGAGTAGCTGAGAGAGAAATACTCTACAACTGAGGAAGAAGACAAACTTAGAAGAATATTCTGGCCTTCTTTATCCTCCTGGGAATCATATAGCCTTCATCCTAATCTTTCAGCAACAGCTTATAAAGAAGCAAACATTTCTTTAACAAACAAAATCTCTAGAAATTTCCTTGTGAAATGGATTCTTTAATCAGTAAGGTCACTTTGATGGATACAGGGATATAGCATTTCAATTTATAGATAAATTGAAAACGTTGTATTCAAGAGCCTTAAGAAAATAGCTGCAATTTGTTGAGCATTTGCCGTGAGTTAAGTCCTGGACTATATACTCTACATTCCTTTTTTCCTGTAGCTTTGCAAGCAGTCCTTTAAGATTATCTTCATTTTGCAGATAGGAAGTTAAGGCCTGGAGGTGTTAATTAATGTGTCCAGGACTACAGAGTCACCTAGCACCAGGGTGTGACTCCAGAACCAAATCTCCTAACCATGAAACCGCCCATGTTTATCAGAATGTTGGCATTATGGCTGGGACAGTCATTCCTGTTGCTGAAGAGTCCTGTGGCTTTGGAGACGTTCAGCATCTTTGGTCCTCAGGCACTAAATACCAGGAGCAGCTTCCTATCACGCTAAAAATTAAAATGCGCTATAGAGGTGGTACTTTCCCTGTCTCCAGCATGTTGAAAATAACTGTCAAGGAAATTAATGAATTTCAGAAACTTAAGGTTAAAAATAATTTTAAGAGTTCCATTAGTTAGTTTTTGTAGTTAATTTGTACAGAAAAAAATAATGTTAAAGAGACCAAGGGAGTGCTAGCATTGGCTTTTTAATTTGTTGATTTTGAGTTGATTCTCAGGAAAGCATATGTTTAGCACCTACTATGTACTGGGAAAATATGTTAGACATTTTTATCCCTACATATAAATGAATGTATTGTGTGTGTCTCTGTGTATTAGAGAGAGAGAGACATCAAGAATTATTATTTTAATACTACTTATCTTTGAAGAAAGTAATGTTTAGAGAACAATTTGCTGAGCAGAAATTTTATTTAGGCTTCTCCACGATACTATATATTGTGAGTATCCAATGAAGTTGTCCTGTTGGCAATTGGAAATGGAATTTGGGGACGTGGTAAAAAGAGATCCAGCTGTAGTTATAGCCATAAATTTTTTGGGAAAAAAAGAATGAATATGCGAAAGTCAGTCACAGTTACTTAGCACATCAGAGGTGTGTCTTGTACAATAAATATTATGATAAATATTTATAAATAAATGACACAGGGAAGGAAACAGAATTAGGACCAGGAAAGAAAGATAGGAAATAACTTGAATGGTGCAACATCAAAGAAGAAAAAAATATTAGGAAATATTGGAGAGATAAGGAGAGGTATTGTCAAGGATGCTGAATGCTGGTCAGAGGTGAAAGTGATAGAGGAATGGGAAAAAATTCTAGAGTCTAGTAAGTCTTCTTGGAACTGAAAGCCAATAAATTGAAGACATCTCCAGGATGTGACAGATTTTGGAAAACCTTCGGAAAGCCATCATTTATTTACAAAAAGAAATACTTTGAATTGGTTTGAGCATGAAAACAAAACATTAAGAAGTCAAGGGCTTTCCTGGTGGCACAGTGGTTGAGAATCTGCCTGCCAATGCAGAGGACGCGGGTTCGAGCCCTGGTCTGGGAGGGTCCCACATGCCGCGGAGCGACTAGGCCCGTGAGCCACACTACTGAGCCTGCGCGTCTGGAGCCTGTGCTCCGCAACAAGAGAGGCCGCGACAGTGAGAGGCCTGCGCACCATGATGAGATGAAGAGTGGCCCCTGCTCGCCACAACTAGAGAAAGCCCTTGCACAGCAACGAAGACCCAACACAGCCAAAAATAAATAAATAAAATTTAAAAAGAAAAGAAACTTGCTTAAAAAAAAAAAAAAAGAAGTCAACACAGAGAGACAGTTGCTTACAGTGGTGCAGTATTTGAAAACAAGCTTCTGGGGAATTTACCAGAGTGTGAAAGAGTTACGAAAACAGATCCACTCTGGCTTAGATCCCTCTCAAGTGTGTGATGGGGCTGTAGGCATCTTCTCTGAGATAAATGTGAGATAATTTTCGGGAGAGAGCCGTACCATTTTTAGACACCTCTCCTCCTGGAGACAGAAGCTTTATGTGAGGCAGTGGGGTTATTTGAGGCAGTTATATGGTTAGAAGACTTTCCTATACACACATCCTTAAATGAGCTGTACCTTCCCCTTAGCAGGAAAAGATCTCCTGTTGTCTTGCAAAGACCACAGCAGCTCTGTGATGGGACGGGCTCCCTAGTGGTGAGCTCTGGGGACCGCAGATATTTTCTTCTACAGTCAGTCTGCAGAGCTAAAGAGCAGAGGATGTGGCCAGGATAGGAGGAGGGGACTGTACATATGTGAGTGTACGTATGTGTGTGTTTTCTCATTTCCGCTTCCCCTTTCAAGCTGGCGACAGCATTTTAATGAAGACAGAGAGAAAGATACAATATGCAATATGATACCTTCTCCCTTTCCTCACCTCCATCCCAGCCGGGAAGGGCTGTGCCCAGCTCTGAGAACTGCTTTGCCTCAAACTCAGCTCTTTACCAGCGAACAGGTGAGTACAACTTCCACCTCAATTTTAAGACTGTACTGATTTAGGATGGTGCTGGGAGATAGGAGGAAACAAGTCAGAGAAAAATCAGGCTGCGAAAAAAATGGAAATGTCAGGAGAAAAGCTCCCACATCCCTGACTTCCATCTTAAAAAATACATCACTGCGCCTCTTGGAACAAGGTCTCTTTATTTTTTTTTTTTCCTTCCTATTATCAGAGAGGTACTCTCGCTAGGGTCACAGAACATGGGTTCCTTCGACGGCCTGAATTAATATTTAGGAATTTTTCATCTTTCTCACCTGAGAAGTTCCTCTCTGTGTCTTGCTGTCCTCACTTTTGCTGCGTTTCAATTTGATTCTAACTTGGAAAAGTTCTCAAGGAGAAATGTTTCTTAGCTTCATCTGGGTCCCATTCTAGCATCCATAACTCTGACTTTCGGGAATACCTAGCCAGAATGAATTTTGCTTTTTGCAGGTATGACCACTTTCTTCAAAAGCTGTAGAAGAAAGTTGTTGAGGAGATAACTATAGCAACGTATACTAGGGTGAAAGGGGAGGGAGAATTTATACAACTGGACGACACCGGGCCAAATTTACTGGAAGGCTCAAGGTCAGTAACCACCTGTCAGGTTTAGTGTTCAAGCCGTACATCTCAGAGATGGATCGATGAATATATTGACCACTTAATGACCTGTCTAATCCTGAGGAGGGATGGGGTCTGCTCCTCCAACACACCTGGTCTCAGTGGTAGCCAGGCTGAGCATGTCACCACCTGCATGAGTTTGGGGGAAGGTAGAGGAGTGGAAAGATCCTCTACGCTGGGGTTTTCCCGTGCCCTACTTGCTACTGAACCCACCAGTGGGTGGAGGAGCAGAGGTGTGTCCCCAGTGTAGAACAAGGACACGATGAAAGAGCCCCCCAGAATTGATAAGACCCCAAGTGTTTGGAAGAGATCCCCAGTGACTCTGTCTACCACAAATAGCCCTAAATAGAGAGGCAAGGGAACTTTCTAGACAGTACACAGCAGTGCCCAGGATAGGAGGTTGGAGGTTGCAGACTTTCGACCTGTGTGTACAATCTTGAGTTTAGGCTTGAGTGATTAGAGCTAAAGATCTGGTCTAATTTTCATGTAACTTGAAACATTATTAGGAATAAAGTAAGATAGGTTTATTATCTATCTCTACTGAGACTATCAGAGATAACAAGCTAAAGCTATCACAAGAGAGATAGAAAGAGATCTTACAAATGATTTTTTCTTCATGTGCATCCCAAGGAAACTCTTTACAACCATACCAAAGACACTTTCTCATAACTCCTTTGCTCTCCTGAAACTTAGATGGAGTCCTGTGATTAAGTATAATGTAGCAGCCATGGAGACCCAATACCATCATTTGGTTAATGATTCATATTCTGTTAGAAAATGGAGAGGAAGTTTGGTCCCAGCCCAGGTCATGATTCACACAGTAAGAGGAAATGATCAGACATCGATCTCCACTTGATAACTGCCAACTGTTCTGTTTACAGCCTAAAGGACAAGACAAAGGTGGGTATTCCAGTACCCACAGTACTGTGTGCCCGGCCCACACACGGGCCTACTGCAAAAAGGCTTAAACACAGATTTTGAGAAGAAGAAAAGAGGGTGTAGATATTGTGAAAGAAAAAGAGGGAAGAATAAACATGAGTATCTGAGGGACAGAGCTTCATTACCAAGGAAATGAGACTGAAGAATTAAAGATAGGAATTCACAGAACTAACTCAATGATCGAGAAGTCTGCTTATTCTCACTCCTGTTTCTAGACTGAACTACCTGTAAACCAGTCCAGGCAAACTGATGTCTCTTATTCTTGATGCCTTGATGATGAAAGAATCTAGTGTCTCCCAACATGGACAGCACGTGATCCCTTTTTTCCAAATGTACAACTTTAATATTTCCTGTAGGAGTTTACAAGGCTCCCATAAAACTCATCCACATCACGGAGGTAGAAGTAAGTAAGAAAGAGGAGAGAAAAAGAGGCTGTAGATGGTCTTTTTTAGGGATTTATTCAGCTAAACTTATTTGTGGGAGGGAGGAGATGAAAAGAGAGAGGAAACGAGTTACAAAAGTGAATGGGCATTTTTCTTGGTATTATTTATCAAATAGCATTCCTCTTTTCTCCTCAAATCAGTTGAACTGCTCCCTTAGACCACAAGAAGTCTCAGGATGCACAAATGCTGCACTCAGGGTAATTTTTGTTCTGATGTTCTTCCAAATGGCAGTGACATGGGAGAGGGTTAGAGATTAGCAAGACATTGCCTATCTGTGAAGGAGTGTGAGAGCCTGTTGCGGGGGTTGGGGGTATGGAGAATGGGCGGCAGTCAACCTGGCTTGAGGTGGAGTTTGTCCTTGTTGAAAACCGAGAAATTGGCTGTCCTGGGATTTCCCACAACCCCTTGCAAGAGTGGTGATGTCTATCTTGTCTGTGACTGCAGAAAAGATGCATAAGTTGCGGAAGGTCTCACAGGCCCCATCATGGAAATTCCGTTTCCTTTTTCTCTCCTCCCACGCTCTCTCACTCTCAGTCCCAGTTCACAGGCACTGCTGGGGTACAGACGCAGTACAGCCGGAAGAGCAGAGAGGTCCGTCTGATACACGTCCCGGGAGGAGGCCCAGCGTGCTCAAGAGAAACCTAAGGCTGGGTCTTGGAAACCAAGAGTGAGGAGGAAGGCTATGTGATATAAAGGAAGAAAGCACACACCTGGGACTCAGAACTTGTGTGTGTCCTGTTGATAGCAGTTAATATTCTATGTGACTTCAGATAAGCCTCTCTCTCTCTTTCTGTCTCTCTGTCTCTCTCTCTCTCTCTGTGTCAGTTTCCTTCACTGCAAAATGAGTGATCAGGATTAGATGATCTCTCTGATCGCTTTGGGCATTAAGTAAGAACAGAGGACCTATTTACTGCTTAGTTTTTATCTCTTCTCGACAGCATCATCCTTCTTTCACCGTCTGGACTTGACACACACTTCTGTACCCTGCTCTGCCCACTCCTTCTCCTTCCTTCTTTCCTTATTCCTGAAAACGTTCCAACTTTAGTGAATGGCTTAGACTGAGGGGAAATTAATAACAATAATAACTATATTTATTAAGCACCTCCTTTATACATCAGGGACTTAGTATGCATTATCTGAGTTTTGATTTTGAAACCCCAATAACCCAACAAGTTTGGTACACTATGTTTTACATATGAAGAAACTCAGGTTTAGAGGGGATAAGGAATGTCACTGAGGACACATATGCAGTAAGTAGACAGAACTGTGGTTTCAGACAAGCTTTACTCTGATTGCACAGCCGCACACTCCTACAGTTTTCCTCCTCAAGAGTTGGCCATCCTTCCTAGACCCCTTCAAAGTATCCCCTTGGTGAGACATCTGTAACTAGAGCTCATATTTTAGATTGGTAGGCCCATATGGTTGCTAAGATATTAAAATATGTTCATATCAAATTATGATAAATATTCATCACTCCAAGACCACTGAGTGCCCACCACTAACCCAGCTACCCCAGCTCTTCCCACAAGACTCCCCAGATGGCACCAAAAACTCAGTGCCAAGCTAGCCACACACTTGTAGGACCCAGTCACAGGACTGGGACTGGTATGACCTCTGAGTTGCCTATGCTGCTCCATAACCATTGCTAAATGTTCTGAATGCCACAACAGTCTACAAGTAATGTGAAATTCCAGGCAGACTCTCTCCTCTGAACTAGAACCTCGTTGGGCCCTCCGTGGCTGCTAAACCACGCTAAGCCTGAGGAAGGCAAAACTGCTTCATAACCATCTCGTTGGAGTCAAGAAGGAAAACTACACTAATAACCGGACAAAGTAACTCTTCCTTTACTAAGATTGTCACAAAGTCAAGCATAAATTACTTTTGGTTTATCTGCCTCTTCTATACTAGACTATAAAACGGAGAGTTCATCTAGCATGTGAACTAGAGAATCTACTAACACAGTTTCTTCTTCCTTTATCCTAAATTACATTTATCAGTGACACCTGCATGGTGATCTTAGGTTATCCTCTTGCTCCATTATCAGTGGAAAGATGATACAACTAGAGTCAGACTAATGTGAGTTTAAATCTCAGCACCATAAGATCCTAAATATATGACCTTGGACTAGGCACATATCTCTCTGAGCTTCAGATAACAATAATTAGCTCCAAGGAGATTGTTGGGATTAAGTGAAGTAGTTTGTGGGACAGTTTTTTTTTTTTTTAGATATACTTGACAATGGGACAGTTTTATGGATAAATATAAGGAACTCTATACATCTCAGTTATTATGAGTACCTATTGCTTTGAATTGCCCATGTTTATATAAAGTGAATCTCTGACTACATTCCTTAGAAAAGAGCCTGGAAGTAAGTGATGCTCTCAGTGTAGTAATAATCACACACCCATAAAGGTTTTCTCTGCTAGTAAAGTTACTGCTTCTGCTGATGACTTTAGTTGGAAGATATTCCTTTCAAAGCTCTGAAACAACTCCCTCGTCGTTTTTTTTTTTTAAACTAAATTTATGTTGTTTACTTATTTTTGGCTGCGTTGGGTCTTCGTTGCTGCGCGGGCTTTTCTCTAGTTGCAGTGAGCGGAGGCTACTCTTCTTTACGGTGTGCGGGCTTCTCATTGCGGTGGCTTCTCTTGTTACGGAGCACGGACTCTAGGCGCTCGGGCTTCAGTAGTTGTGGCTCACAGGCTCAGCAGTTGTGGCTCGCGGGCTCTAGAGCACAGGCTCCATAGTTGTGGCGCACGGGTTTAGTTGCTCCGTGGCATGTGGGATATGCCCTGACCAGGGATCAAACGTGTGTACCTTGCATTGGCAGGCGGATTCTTAACCACTGCGCCACCAGGGAAGTCCCCAGCTCCCTAGTCTTAAACCATTAATGGTGATTCCTCTTGTCTAGCTTCAATCATGGCTGCTGCAATTTCTGCTTTGAACTATAACATCCTCAGAAAAAGAGAATTCTCTCCTGCTGTACTTGGTTGTAGTCAGATTCCAGAGCACTCAACAGATTGTGGAGAAATATTTTGGGAGTAAATCCCTAGAAAAATGTAGGAAAGAAGAAAAGACAGAGGACTGAAAATGATAGCAGAGGGGGAAAGGAGGCTTTGGGGTGGTTCAGGCAAGTAGAAACAGAACCAGCGTGGCATTCGTGTTGTTGTTTTTTTGGGGGTGGGGAGGTGCTTAGTGGGAATGTCAGAGAAAATATATCAGCAGGCATCAGACTTTCATCCCCACAGAATATGGACTAAATGTAATATTATAATCTAAACCAGCATCAAGAAAAATGGTACTTAGATTCCAGAAGGAACTTGTGACCAGGGAATAAAAACCTACAATGAAAAATTCTGGAAAATATTTTTTTTAGGACAAGAGAAGTTGATAGTTTAAGCTTATAAGTTCAGTCAGATTTGTGTGGCCCTATGTTCTATCAACAAAGGGGTGGCGTGACTATGCCCCAGGCCGTTTTCCTCTTCATTAGAAGGTATCCAAAATACATACATTAGGATTTGAGACCATGTGGAAAGTCCGGAGCCCCTGGCCTATGATACACACTAGAGGGGGATAATATTTCAGCAGCAGCGTGACTCTTGGTCCTCTGCAGGTACAGTATCTACTGAGCCCCTTCTGTTGCAATGTACCATGCACTGCCCTGAGGTAGGATTTAGGGGACAGGTTACAAGCAATGGTGGATAACGGCCAGAAAGGTAAGCCACTTACGTCTTGTTGAATGTGGTCTAGGCGCACGTGCTGGGTGCTAGTGGTGGGCAAGAGAACGGAGATGACTTGAGGAGCCCTTCAAAATGTAGAATGTGTTTGGGTAGAGAGGAAGGTGGCTGAAACTGGGTAAGCTAAAGCAAAGAAGCAGAAAAGTTCAAGAAGTGCTGGGGGTCCTTGAGCTCTCCTGACTGAATCACACTCCTTGGGCTCCTTCTCAGCCTCCCTCATCCAGGCTCACCACCTTCCTGGGTCACTGAAGCTTTTAAGTCCAAGAACCTCATAAGTCAGTGTTAATTTGAAAGGGAATTTGTTAAGTGGCAAGTAACTCCAGAGGCCACTGGGCCGTTTCCTAATTCTTACAGGAAAAACTACACAAATGCATCTTTTGTACAGGTATTATTCCTACAAATATTTCAGACTCAATTGGAATAAATTCATAAACAATGGTATTAGAGGCGAACTTTTACAACATTGAGTCCCACCAATTCATTTTCTAGAGGTTGAAGTCAATGCCCAAATAGAAAAACCTAATTGACTTGCCAGAAGTCAGTTAATTGGACAGAAAGTCTAGAAGAACGCCCAAGACTCCTGACTCCCATCAGTGCTCTTTTCACTGCACCAAACTCCATTGTACATCCAGGTGTGTGTTTTTTGTATGACTTGTTTGGAGGAAATATCTCCATGCCCTCTCTCTGTCACAAGGACCCTCCGTGCTTTCAAGGGTGCCATCTTGACAGCTGTGGGCATCCATCCTTCAGTTCTTTCTAACACTTACTGCCGACGTGCTTGTCTGATAACCATGTGCTGCTTCCTCCAGATTTCCACAGAGAACACCCAGTTTCTCATCTCCAAGCAGCACAGCTTCCCTCTGTCACCACTAACCAGACAATTCTATTTCTCCCGACCTCCAAATACTGATGTACTTACAGTGTTCCCACATAATGCCCTGTGAACAGGTCTCTATAACCCACGTGTGGCAGAGATTGGGGAAAATCAGTTAGGTTCTGTTTTAGGCATCAGGGACATAGCAGTGAACAACCCAGACAAAAACCTCTGTCCTTGCGGAGCTTCTATTTAAATCAGAAGAATAAACAATAAATTGGATTAACAAATAAAACAAAGTATGTTAGTGATAAGAACAATGAAGAAGAAAGTCAAGCAGGGAAGGAGCTCAGTGGAAGTGCCTATCATCTAGAGGCTGTGGAAGCCAGGCCTGGCTTCACGGAGAAATCGGTTAAGAGTTGGGCTTTCAGGTTAAGGGTGCCAAAGGCTGAGAGGGAAGAAGAGGGAGGGGAAAAACATGGGGAAAGCCTAGGGTTGAACGGGGGATAAGCATTTTCAGGGGGCAGAGGGGAAATGAGCCTGTATGAGTCTGGCGTATTTTCAAAGATGTAGGAGGAGTGTGGGATAGATTTGCACCACAGAGGATGCTGAAACCAAAGGAGAGGCCTCCATCACTCATCTCAATTAGTGAGATTCTGACACTGTGCTAGGCTGTAACATCCTCATTGAGAAACTGAGCCCAGAGAAAGGGATTGAATTCGCCAAGGCTGTACCATTAGTAAGTGGCAGAATAAAGTGTGGGAGTTGAAGGTTCCTTCCTTCTTTCCTTCTTTTTCTCCTTCCTCCCCTCCTTCCTTTCCTCCTTCCTTCCCTTCTTCCTGCCTTCTTCTCTCCCTCCTTCCCTTCCTTCCCGAATTCCTTTTAAATTCCCCTGATCACCAAATTAGTTCTTCTTGTGACCCGAAGATTTCTTGTGATTTAGGTGAGATTCATTTGCTCTGGAAATTAAAGACAATAGGCAAGTTAGCCTTTGATATTTTCTTCCCCGGACTGACTGACACCAACATATTAAATATTTTGGATGGAGGTGCAGTACTAGGTAAATGCACACTAGCAAGGCTTTTTAGACTCTTTCCCTAAATTCTTTATAGTGGCAGTTTCGTCCTCATTTTATCACCTCATAACAGCTCTGGCCAAAGGACAACAAATTCTCTCTGCTACCCCTCTTTGTGGCTTCACTATACACCACAGACTTCATTCAGTTGTTTAATTTCCCCTTAAAGGCACAGGCAGTGGAGAAAGGGCTGGGTGTCCAGGGTTAATAAAGTTTCATAGTGCCAACTGCTGTCTCTCCTTGGGGGAGAGACATGCCTTAGGCTGGGCCTGCAGTAAAAGAATTTAGATCAGACAGCAGTAATTATGTACTATTTTTCTCTGGATATGTTTTGTCTGTAACAAGCAGAAACATCCAAAAGAATTTTATTGCCCTAGGAATGCATTTTATGTTCAGGACTTTCTTTTCAAAAATAGGTATTTTAGTGCCTAAATTGTTGAATGCTTCACTGATGATTTTGTTTTTAAGCGTTTGAGAAGCAGAAGTCTCTGGAAACTGGCGCTCTTCTTATTTATTTCCCCCTTTTATTTTTCCTTACTCCAGCAGTTAAAGGTGGAGCCATGAGGATGAAGCGTTTATGGCAGCTCCAGTGACAAGGGCTGGTCCCACCTCCACCTGTTCACTGTGGGGACTGTGAGTGCAGCTGGTGGGGAAGAGGCAGGAGGACAGAGTATAAGCCAATGACTGTACATTAGCCTCAAGTCCTTTTAAGCTCTATTTGGACAATCGAATGATTCATCCTCTCTGTCTTCCTCTTTGAATAAGTGGCTCGTGCCATCAGAATATATCTCTTGGAAGAATACAGAGGTGTTGATTAGGCAGTGTTAAATGAAGTATTAGCACACTGATGAACTGGACAATTAACTCAGAGCCATGGAGAAACCCAAGCTGACAAATTAGAAAGTGATCTGATGATCCTGAAAGTGGTAACTGCTAATTGCTTCAGGCAATGTCTCCTTGTTTTTATTATGGGATTCTCCCCACCCTCATCCCTACCGCCCCCAGAGAAATCCTATGCTAAATAGGAAACAAAACAAGCCCAGAATGACTGTAGTTAGACTGACATCCTGGTTGTGAGACCTTAGAAAATTCGTTTAACCTTTGAGATCTGAGACTTCATATATCTTTATGAGGATCAAATAAAGTGAAATCTACACATTGCAAATTTAAAGATATTTTAATTACAATGGAAGATTCTGGGAGACAAAATTCTTAAGAACTAAAGAAAATGTTTTCTAATACAGCATTTCACCTATCATGAGAAGTAGCAACTCTCAAGTCAGAAGCGCTTTCTCGGTGTCCCTTAAATCATATGATATTTCCAGTTTCCAAACTTGGAAGACCTGGTGTTTAGATTGCTCAGAGCATTCCTTTCGTTGGAAGATGGAGGAGGAACAAGACATCTCCTCCCTCCTCCGGAACGGGCAGAGGGCTACGCTCCTTTCTGCAGAGCTGGGAAGATGTGGGGACAGCCCTGGGAGTGGTGATTACTGACCAGAGGATGAGGCAGCATCACTGTGTTCCAACTCACAGGACAGCATCCCTGTGGCGGGAGGCCCTGAAGTCTGAACCAGCGCCATGGAGGGCTCTGTGCTGAGCCCCACGTCCTGGGAGAGGCGACGGGCCTGGCTCCGACAGAGCCGGCACTGGCAGACCCAGGTCCTGGAAGAGGACGCTGCCGCAGCCCTGCAGGGTGTCCCAGATCCCGAGCCTTCTGGCCTGGATGATGTTTTCCAGGAAGGTAAGAGGCCATTAGACATCAAACAGACTTGCACGTTCTCTTGTGATATGGAAAACGTGCCAGATGCCCAGGTCTGCAGTGCGGGCAGCGGGTCCTGGGTTTAGGCTAGCCACCCCCGCCCCCCACCACGAGGCTTATTTTGACTGTGTTAAATGAGTTTAAGGGAAGATGAGTAAAGTAATATGAGGCATGAATTATGTGAGAAAGAAACAGCCTAAGATTGGGAAAAAGGAAGAGGCACACTTTTGCCTCGTCCTGAGCAGCTATCTGTGAGGATCCGAGGCCAGGGTTCTCTATGAATGTTTGGAGTGTTTCTGTGTCTGTGTAACAAGGTTACACGCAATCTGGGTGCCTGGACTCTGGCTGCAACTCAGCTGTGTGACGTGACCTTTGGCAAGTCGCTCACCGCTCTAGGACATGCTTGTCTAATTGAAGTATTAGTACCTGAAATAGTAATAGTACCTTTTCCACATGCCTCTCAGAGCTTCTTTTAGGTTCCAATGATGCTGCAGACATAAGAGTAAAAAGTAAAAAATAAATTTAAAAATAAATCTTATGTACGTGAACCTACCCTCGCTTATTTGGTAGGAAACAAAAAGTGCAAACGCAAAATTGTGCTTTTTATTTTCTTTTCCTTTTTTTTTTTAAAGAGAAGGATCTATTCCTGTTCCCAAACCTTGGGGTATTTTCCACGTTTCTGGGAGAAAGGGGGCACAGAGGCAGAGAGAGAAGAAATATCCACTTTTTTTTTTTTTCGATACGCGGGCCTCTCACTGTTGTGACCTCTCCCGTTGCGGAGCACAGGCTCTGGACGTGCAGGCTCAGCGGCCATGGCTCACGGGCCCAGCCGCTCTGTGGCATGTGGGATCTTCCCGGACCGGGGCACGAACCCGTGTCCCCTGCGTCAGCAGGCAGACTCTCAACCACTGCGCCACCAGGGAAACCCGATCCACTATTTTTATACACGGATATATTCCTCTTTTATCTTAAAGAAAAGTTTTATGGGAAGAAAAAGGAGTCGTGAGGTGGCTTATATAATGATGTTTGTGGAATGGGGTGAATTTCAGGGAGGAAGTCTGATTTCCTTCAGTTTCCACGGTGATCTGATATCTGGCTTTTCTAGGGAATCCAATCAACAAGATTGAAGACTGGCTGCAGGATTGTGGGTAAGTGCTGGCGAGGCAGCTGGACTGAGCGTGGTTGATGCTTGGGTGTGTTAACAGGCTCTGACTCTTGAGAACTCAGAGCGCAGGGACATGAATTTTAATTGGGCGTAATGATTAGAAGTGAGGTTGAAATAAGGGAGAGGGGATTGTAAAGATTTGGGGTGAGTGTGGGGATTGGGGCTATGAATCAAGTGCATCGCTGGGCTGAGACTAAGTTAGGGTGAGGATCTGGAAGTACAGTCTGGACCTGGTCTAAAACTAAGAAGGATGGAAATGGGTAGCCACAGGGGAGAGCTGGGCTAGATTCCAGATTCCTGCTCCATTGCTTTTCCCTTCAGACTGGAGTTTTACACTGTGTAACAGAAGAGGACTTAGAAACCTAATTGTTCTTATGGTCAGAGTATTTCTTCATTATGAATCATTATGTTGTTTATTTCTACTGAAGAACACAGGAAGAGGGGCTAAGGGTTTACCCCAGTCATTCAAAGCAGTGACGAATTGGAGCAGGTACTTCAAGGCAAAATGTAGTACCTCTTTCCTGAGAAACACTTTAAAATTTGAAACCCTACACCCCCTCTGCCTGTACCATTTTAGGTTCAGTCTACCCAGACCTGGAGGGAAAGCTTCTGTGACCTATTTAAGTGTGATCATTTGTGTGATAATGAATTCTCAGAACTTATAACTCCCGCCTACTCTTTATTTCCTCTTCAGAAATGTTTCAAGCTGTATATAGCCTTTCATCTAAACTTGTTTATTAACTTATGAATAAACCCATCCTGGCTTATTTGGTAGGAAATAAATAACACTGTATAATCCAAGGTTGTTTATTTTAACTCTGCCCTGGGAGGTAAGGCAAGGAAGAATTTATTTTGTGTTTTTGTTGTGTACAAAACATGTTGTCTTTATTGTCATAATCTGGTTCGGAATTTCAGAGTTAATTAAGGGTAATCAAAATATAGGGAAGTAAATGGATGGTGGTAATGTTTGCAGGTTTGGGTGTGTGAGAACTGTCCCAGGATTTAAAATGCTTCTCCAGATACGTACAGGAGAACCAGTGGGCTCAGTTACTGTCTTTATCCCATTAACTATTCTTCAGTCTTATCAAGTCAATAATTATTACTGACCGTGAGTTTGCTAACTGTCTGATTGTCTAAATGGCCTAGAGGGGTGCCAAGTAGTTTAAAATATGCTCCTTGACCACAAACATACTACATTCTAGTTGAAAAGAATAAATTCCCAGAAATACAAGATTGTAAATTCCAGAAATCACCTTTCCCTACCTATATTCTACCAAGATAAACCCTGAACCAAAATTTATGATGAAAAAGTAGTCTGGTGAGTGAAAAGGCTCCAAGATTTGAGCCTAATTCTTGTGCTAACCATCTGTATAACCAGCTGTAAGCAAACAACTGAAATTCTATCTCAGACTCCTCTTCTGTAAAGTGGAGAGCTAGAATAATAAAGTTCCAAAAGATTCTTGTGAGATTTAAATGATATATGTGTACAAGTGTTTTATACTCTGTAGTACTATGTGAGTGGTGAGTGTCAGGGAGGAAAGAATTTTCCTCTACCCTTCTTTCTAGGTCCTTCTTTAATTCTTTAATCTGAGAATTAAATTGACGTGAGACAGATTAACAGGAGAAAATCAAACAAAAGTTTAAACATGTATACATGGGAGACACCCCGGAGAACTGAGTAACTCACCAAAATGGTGAAACCCTCACCTTAAATACCATCCTCAGCTAAAGACAAAGGATGATATTGGGGATAGTGGTTTGGGACTTCAAAGGGGAGGAAGGCAATTCACACGGAGATGAAAAAGCAAATGTTTGGTAAACAAACATTTACTGGACTATGTAAAGACAATGGGATACTAAGCAGACTCTGAATTCCAACACACCTAGTTCATATTCTCTAGTGAGATCTCTATTCCTGTTACAGTCCCTCTATCCAAATTCTTTAGGCAGCTAAGGCAGAACGTCAAGGTTTCTTCCTGAGTCTTTTGAGCCTTGGTTGTCTTCAGCTTGAAATAATCCACATGCCAAAGAGACATTTCAGGGTGGCAAATTTTGCTCCCCTACATGAAGTTTATAAAGATGAGTTTTATGCTACTTTAAAATTTCACAAAATAAGTCCATCTATCTATTTACCTGGCATCTATCTGTATCCTTTTATTTATCGGAAAAGTGTGTCCAGATATGATGCATATCAACTTTAGGACAGTGATTACCTCTAGGAAGGAAAAATGTTAGGAAGGAATGGGAGTAAAACTTCTCCTGAAAATATCTAACTATCTGAGGGCCAGTTCTGTCAGTTTTCCCAGAGCGCAAAAGTGCCTTCTCCTGATCTTTGCCCTGAAATTCCTTCAAGGTGTATTGTAGGTCAGCGATTGCAGTGGCTAATGACTTGATTCTTGTAGAACTGGATGGTGGGCAACATTCTTCATTTTACAATCCCTTCCCTTTCAGTCTTAATTTCGACCAAGCTTTGAGAGGCATTTGATGCTCAGTTTGTCCCATGGCACTAGGAATGCTTATTCCCAGGTCAGGTGAGGATTTCTTTGATAGGCCACTCAATGTACTATTACTGGACTAGGCCTTGTTAACAGTAGCTAACTGTTACTAGACCAGTTGGACCACCTGTCTTACTGGTCTGTTATGGTCCAGGAAATTGTTTCCTCTTGCTGTTTCTTCCTATATCTAAACTTACACTATCACTGATCTTATAGAACTACATATTTGATCAATCTTTTCAAGTCACCTAATCATCGTTAATTTGATCTGAGGCTCAGTCACACATACGGTAATGCAAGAAAAAATAATCTTTTAAAATAAGATTACAAGTAATATAGCTAGTAACATTAATAGGTCATAAGTAAGTACTGAAGCTAAGAAATTCTATTAGGTGCTGCCCTGTATCTCCCCAGGTCATCTGACCAGTCTGTTCTGCACCAGTCCCTATCTTTAAGGGAAATGACATATTGGAATTGTACATAAAGTTCACCAAAGATGTCTGCACGTACAAGGCAAGAGGTGGGTCATCACGACCCCATACGTAGGATTGAGAAAGAAATATCATCTAGGTCATTACATGGCTGGTGCCAGAAGAAGAAAAATTGATCTCTACGGTTGAGCAGATATTTCTGCCATTGCAGAGGTCTGGTTAATGCATAATGCACACCAGAGGGGAGGAAGGAGGCCAAAATGGGCAGAAAACAAATTTGTTTAAATTTTTGTCTTGCCTTAAAATGAATTTTTATTTCATCCGTCTCTGCAGGCAGAATCTATGGAAATTTCTGGAAGAAGCTAAAAATAGCCACATGCTTCTTCTTACAGTCCAATCCTCCTCCCTACTCTTTGTTTATGAATTGGGTATGCAGGAAGAGCAGTAGCTTGGCTCTTCTATGTCAGACTTGAAATGATGCTAAGGGACCTTTCAGTGCAAATGCGGAGAGGAGCAGCTATGGATCTAGTCTCTAGTCATTGATTTTATGTTCTAAGCGATAACTCATGAAAGGCCTGGGACTTGGATGAGGGACATGAAATTTCAAACCACCATGCTCAGAGGAGCTGAGCATGGATCAACAGATCCAGGCCTATGTCCATACTTCTGTGGTGTATTCCACATACACATAGAAAAGCATACGATCACAAGGGTCAGCCTGAGCTGGTCCTCATGTAGAGACTATGGACATGCCTGGTAGGGCGCAGCTAGAAAACAGAAATGAAAGATGCACACCCAACAAATATTGTGTTACTAAATTTTGCTTTGGGCAAATAAGGAATTTTATCAGTGGTATTTTTAAATGTAAATTTTATTGAAGTATGGCATACATATCAGTAGCATTTTTCTTTTTAATATAAATTGTCGTGCAACTCAATGGATGTAAATTTCAGCTATGCCAGATGAATAAATTCTAGCGACCTGGTGTACAACGTAGTGCCTATAGCTAACAATATGGTATTGTGCACTTCAAAATTTGTTAAGAGGGTAAATCTCATATTAAGTGTTCTTACTTCCAAAAAAAAAAATCAAAGGGAAATAAGGATACTCTGGGAGTTGTTGGATGTGTCTGTTAGTTCGATTGGTGATGGATGGTATCACAAGTGTTTACCTGTGTCCAAGCTCATCAAGTTGCACACATTAAGTATGTGCGGTTCCTCGTGTATCAATTATACCTAAATAAAGCTGTATATAAATATACAGATGTATACGTATAAATATAAAATAATAGCAATATAAATTGTGTTGAAGTATAAAGTATTTACTGAAAAATAAACGAGTCTTAAATATATGGTTCAATGAATTTTCTCAAAGGGAATATAGTGATGAAATCTGAAATAGAACATCACCAGCACTCCAGAAGCTCCTTCTGTCCCCTTCTGTTCACTGCCCTGCTTCCAAGGGTAACCAATACCCTGACTTGTAGCATCAAAGATAAATTTTGTACTTTTTAAACTTTATATAAATAGAACCATACAATATGCACTGTTTTATGTGTCCTTTTTTGTTCAGCATTATGTTTGTGATGTTCATCCATGTGTTTGCATCCAGCAATAGCTCATTCTTTTCCATTGTTGTGTAGCATTGTCTATTGATCATGCAACTTCTCCATTTTACAAGAACTAGAGATTTGGGGGTCTGCCAATTCTGAGTTATTATAAACATTATTTCTGTTGGTGAACGTATACAGGCATTTCCATTGATTGCATACCTAGAAGTGTAACAGTAGTGTGTTTTATTGTAGTTATAGTAATTGTAGGCCTTAGTAGTTGCATTACTGTGTAGCTACAGCACAAGCATTAAATGCAACAGTAGATCTCAGCCTTCTAGTAGTTGACTATATTGTTATCATAATGTTTTTAATAGTAATAGGAAATATTAATTTATACTAATATTTGTAATGTTATATATACACTAACACGTTTGTAGTATTATAATATATATCTTTATGTAATTATATATTAGGAAGAGAAGTATGTATTTGTAGTTCTAGTTGTGTTTATTAGAGTTACCCATTCTTAATTACCTTGAGTATCATTCCACATTTTATAGCATATATTGATGTACAGTTCTTCTCATGAGGACATGTAAAAATCCAGATTTTAGACAATATTGTTGATTTTTTCACTATTGAAAGGAAAGTACCAGCAAAAGATGTCTATATGTGTAGGGATTTATTTTGTAAAATTAAACACAGCTCGTTCTACAGACGTTGAGTCGGTAAGCCCATTTTCATTAATAAACATTTCGTGAACTGATACTCCAATAGCCTGAGAGGTGCCTAGATCTCTGGAGACTGATAAAGGAGAAGGCTTGTTTAAGACCAGCTCCAATGGATGCTCTCCAGTCAGTTTCCCTGTTAACTCACTTGAACAACTCTTCTCTATTCCAGCCTCCATTTGAGATTACATTCAAAGCATCACGTGCAACTTCCATTTTTAAAACTTTCAGGAAAGCCAACTATAAAACTCACAGCACGTCGGTGTTTGAAGTGAACTTAGATAATGATAATATCTAGGCATCTAAATCCCCTTACTTAATATTTGGGAACATAGCAGCAGCCAGGAGCCAGGACTGGAATCCAGGTGCTCCGGTCCCTGTTCAAAGCTTTTTCCACAGACAACTTCAATCACCCGTTTGAGACAGCGAATTTCTTCCTCATTTAAGTTGTTTCTCACTACCATGTATGCTGAATTCCAATTGTTCTTCCTGTGGAGACAGTAAATGTTTGATAAGCCCATATCTCAAAATGTAGAAATGTAATCTCTAACCAAGATGCGGTTCCTGCTGCTTCCTGAAAGATGTGATATTCAGCAACAATGGGGCTCAATGAAAAGGAAGGAGGTGTAGGTAGATAAGATGACCTCCTAAAAGTTTTTTCTTAGTTTCAGTATTTGTATTTCTGATGGAAAGTTTATGGCACCCAGACCCCTGCTTCTGTAAATATATTTCTCCAGTTTTGCTTCCGTATCTTTCCTATTTCCTAGCTACTGAAGAATCATTGCTAAACTGACTTGGGACACTGTTATCAGCACAATGATAGCACAATCTAAAATACAGCACCTTGGCAGTTTATGAAGTTTTATGTATATATATGTGTGTGTGTGTGTGTGTGTATGTGTGTGTGTGTGTATCATACTGATAATTCCCTTGGGATGTAAAATTATTTTATGTAAGAAATTGTGTTGTGTGTCTCTGTGTTGGCAGGATCTCTAACAACTCTCAAATCCATTATCTAACAAATCTCGAACCCATTATTCCTGCTTTAACTAATTCTATTTATTATTAATTAGGATGAAAATGAATAAATGTGATGAACAAAAAAAATAAATAAAATAAAATAAAATAAAATACAGCACCTTCTGGCTACCGCTATGGACTTGTCAGTCAAATCATCACTCTCCATTTGCTTCAACATAAAAGCGGTTTAAATACTACTGACTCTCATTGGAAAATTACGTGAACTTGTGGGAAATATTTGAAGAAAAGCCCTTTCGAAAATGTAGTGATTTAAACCTATGAGATTCTTTTTGGTTTTTAGATACTTTGAAGAAGGGTTTTTTGAGGAAGCAGGACAGCCGATCCACAACGGTAAGCAGAGGCTCTGTTCTTTCTCCTCTTGTTCCTCTACCTTAGACAGCGACACGGCTGTGTGTGTGTGTGTGTGTGTGTGTAAGATGCTATCTTTTCACTGCCTACAGAACACCTATTAGTGGTCATAAGACAGTCCAGGAGGCCCAGAGGATAGAGTAAGTGTTGGGTCAGAGCCCACAGGCTGACTAGTCCTCAAAGGTTAGCTTCTGTTAGTGGCTGCTCAGCTAACAACCACTGCTATGGAAAACGAGCTTCATAAAATATGTGTGGATGTAGAGAACAAACGTATGGACACCAAGGGGGAAAAGTGACGGGGGTGTGGTGGTGGGATGAATTGGGAGATTGGGATTGACATATATACACTAATATGCATTAAATGGATAACTAATAAGAACTTGCTGTATAAAAAAATAAAATTCAAAATAAAATAAAATGTGTGTCTGTATATGTATGTTTATGTGTGAGTGCATACCCCCACGTGCCAGTTCTTTGGAAGAGGATTGTGTACATGACTATGTGATATAGGGGACAGGTTAATTGTAGGTGAGTTTTTACGTGATTTTTTAAATCAAAATATGAATGTGACTTCTGAGTTAGTATCTGTGTGGCTGAGGTAGTTTTTCAAACATGTGGATGTATGATGTAATTGTGTGGTTGTAGATGTGTATACTAATGTGTGATTGTGTGTGTGCGTGTGTGAGTCCAAGCCTGATTTTCTGCAGCCTTTGCCTTATTATTTGACAGGGTGCCCCAGCCATGGAACCAGCTTTGAAGATGACTTGACCCTCGGAGCAGAAGGTAAGTGGCACAGCTCTCTGAGGTTGGAATTGAGGAAGAGGCTATCTACTGGATGAATTAAGGATAGAATGGAAGGGGAGAACTGCAGAAAGAAGCAGCCCATCCCTGGAGTCTTATCTGCAGGGAAAGGGCAATCTCATATGATCTAATGGAAAACTCAGAAAGTGTCACATGCCCAGAAATACTTCCTCACCAGCCTATCAAGACATCTACTGGTCCATCATTGGAGCTTTCCTTTGGCCCCTGAATATATAAAATCACCATAAAAGTGGCTGCCCAGACATCTTTGAGATGGTTTTCTGTATAGGAAGCCCCAGGCAGTCTGAGTACTGGGTGTAAGAGAGAGACTCCATTGGAGGAAAATAAGGGCTGGGATAAAGGATGGAGGTACCGCAACCTACCAGTGTCTTCTGGGACCCGTAGAGACTCACGTGGTGAGGCAGGAACACTAGCCTGGGTGCCTGAATGACTCTGTCCTCCTCAGGACAGAGAAACTCTTGTCTGGACACCAGGCATGGTTCAGAAGTTCAGAGGCTCGGGGCCAGTTTTTCTCTGCTGTATTTGTCCAGGTCTGTGTTTGATAATCTTCAGATACTTATATAAAGAACAGAGTTCATGGGATTCAGGGGCCTATAGTAGTGGCAGAGGGGAACAGAGGGGGCTGAGTTTTAAGCTCGGAGGGACAGCTTAGGTGATTTGCATTTTCCCTTCTAACTTTTTCTTTGCCTTTCTGTTCCTTGTCCAGCCACACTGTTGGCCGCCAACAGCAAACTCTTCTCCAGGTAAGTGTTCAGTTGAGCCAGGCTGAACAATGTCTCCTTCAGGACCTACTGAACTGGGGTGGGTGTCAGAGTCCAAGAAATTAAAAACAAAGAGCTGAAGATTCACAATAGAGGTGAGATTTCCAACTCGGAATGAGACCATAGATTGAGTTTTTACAGTAGATGGTTCAAAGGTACCCAGCATGGAGTGACAATGCCCAGCAGGGCATGTCTAGGGACCAGGGTGCAGACTGCTCACAAGATTAGTATGACTTCAGCGTTGATCCCTGCAGGAGCTTCCTGGAGACAGCCCGGCCTGGGCAGCTACTGGATCTTGGCTGCAGTTTGGCTTCCAGTAGCATGACTGGTGGGACCAACAAGACTAGTTCAAGGTAGGTGCCAAGTTTGGCAGGGGTGTAAGGGCGGGGAAGATGAGAGGTAGAAGAGAATGGAACTAAGAACCGTTGCCAGTTTTTTTTCTGGGATATACTGCTAGAGCTTTTATGTAGTCACATACTTGACAAGCATAACAATATTTGCTTCAAGAATAGCAGGGATGCAGAGGAATCTACTGCTCAGAGCTGGATGCTGTGTGTAAAATACAGGTGTCTCCTCCCCTGCACCTTGTACCCCAAGAGGTGTAGTATCGGTACCATCACAGTTCCTGGACCTATAAGTACTCAGTAAACAATCAATGAATGTATTAATTGATTGGTTGATTGAGGCAATAAAACATTGATTCATTCAGATAATTTTGTACCCCCAAATGCAGGCCAGGCAATGACTGTGTGGAATTCGAAGATGAAGCAGACAAAGAGTTTGCCCGCAGGAGCCCACCAAGCCTATAGGGTGAACAAAACACACACACAAATAACTTTAAAACAAGATGGAAAGTGATGAAAACTAGTGTGCTATAATAAAAATTGTTTGGAATTTGGAGTCAGAGTTTGAATTTGAGACCTTATTAGCTCTTATCTCTCTTTAGTGATTTGTCTTTATTGAACCTTAGCCCTGGCAACACCCCAGTTCAGTTAACACAGAATCTCTGGAGATGAGACTCAAATATCTGCATTAAAACTTTTTTTCGAAGTGTATTTGATTGATTTACAATGCTTCAGGGGTAGAGCAAAGCGATTCAGAGATGTGTGTGTGTGTGTGTGTGTGTGTGTGTGTGTGTGTAGGTGTACTTTTTCAGATTCTTTCCCATTATAGGTTATTGCAAGATATTGAGTATAGTTCCCTGTGTTGCATAGTAGGTCCTTACTGTTTACTGTTTTGTATATCGTGGTGTATATGTGTTAATTGCAAACTCCTAATTTATCTCTCCCCATCCTCTGCTATCGCCTTTGGTAACCTTAAGTTTGTTTTCTAGGTCTGTGAGTCTATTTCTGTTTTGTAAATAAGTTCATTGGAATCATTTTTTTAGATTCTACATATAAGTGATATCATGTGAGAGTTATCTGTCTCTGTCTGACTTACTTCACTCAGTATGATAATTTCTAGATTTATCCATGTTGCTGTAAATGGCATTAGTTCATTCTTTTTTATGGCTGAGCAATATTCCATTGTATATATATGTACCACATCTTCTTTATCCATTCATCTGTTGATGGACATTTAAGTTGCTTCCATGTCTTGGCTGCTGTAAATAGTGCTGCTATGAACAATGGAGTGAATGTATCTTTCAAATTAGAGTTTTCATCTTTTCTGGATATGTGTCCAGGAGTAGGATTGCTGGATCATATGGTAACTCTGTTTTTAGTTTTTTTGAGGAATCTCCATACTATTCTGCATAGTGACTGCCCAATTTACATTCCCACCAACAGTGTAGGAGGGTTCCCTTTTTTCCACACCCTCTCCAGCATTTATTATTTGTTGACTTTTTTTTTTTTAATTTATTTTTGGCTGTGTTGGGTCTTCGTTGCTGCACGTGGGCTTTCTCTAGTTGCGGCGAGCGGGGCTACTCTTCATTGCAGTACGCAAGCTTCTCATTGCAGTGGCTTCTCTTGTTGTAGAGCACAGGCTTTAGGCGCATGGGCTTCAGTAGTTGCAGCATGCGGGCTCAGTAGTTGTGACTCTTGGGCTCTAGAGTGCAGGCTTGGTAGTTTTGGCACACAGTCTTAGTTGCTCCACGGCATGTGGGATCTTCCCCTACCAGGGATCAAACGCATGTACCCTGCATTGGCAGGCGGATTCTTAACCACTGTGCCACCAGGGAAGCCCTGTAGACTTTTTGATGATGGCCATTCTGACTGGTGTGAGGTGATACCTCATTGTAGTTTTGATTTTCAATTCTCTAATAATTAGCAATGTTGAGCATCTTTTCATGTGCCTACTGGCCATCTGTATGTTTTCTTTGGGAAAATGTCTATTGAGGTCTTCTGTCCATTTTCTAATTACGTTCTTTGTTTCTTGATATTGAGATGTATGAGCTATTTATACATTTTGGATATCAACCCATTATCAGTCATATCATTTGAAAATATTTTCTCCCATTTAGTGAGTTGTTTTTTAATTCTATCAGTGATTTCCTTTACTGTGCAAAAGGCTTTAAGTTTAATTAAGTGCCATTTGTCCATTTTAGCTTTTGTTTCCTTTGCCTTATGAGAGAGATCCAAAAAAATATTGCTACAATTTATGTCAAAGAGTATTCTGCTTGTGTTTTCTTCTAGGAGTTTTATGACTTCTGTTCTTATGGAACAGTGTTTACCCACTTTGAGTTTATTTTTTTATACAGAGTGAGAAAATTTTCTAATTCTTTTACATGTAGCTGTCCAATTTCCCAGCACCACTTATTAAAGAGACAGTCTTTTCCCCATTGTATACCCTTGCTTCCTTTATCATGCACTATAAGTGCATGGTTTTTTTCCTGGGCTCTCTATTCTGTTCCATTGATCTATATATCTACTTTTGTGCCCGTACCAAACTGCTCTGATGACTATAGCTTTATAACCGGCTCTGAAGTGGACACAAGTCACCTCTCCCCGCCGAGGTGTGCTGGCAGCTGTCACCTTAGTGGAAGCTGTGGCTGGGGATGGAAGGGCTAGAGCCAGAGGCTGGTGTGAGCCAGGGCTTCTCCTGTGCTCAGTGGCTCACAGCACCCTATCCGGGGCAAGACTGTGTCCTAAGTTGTTGGAGCAGAATTCCTGAGGGTCAGGTCTGAACTGGTTCCATTCCCTCTGAGTGTGTGCTCTCCTGCAACCCAGCATTGGTACCTTCGCCCCAGAGGGGAGCAGGGCTGGAGCAAGAAGGGCTGGGGCAGGTGCCCATTGCAAGCAAGGGCCCATTGGGGAGCAGTCCTGGCACATGAGTCAGAGTTCCAGACCGCTCTCCATCTGCCTCTGCTGGGAGCGCCAGTAATGGCTGCCATCGCCCGGTTCACATGTAGCGCCAGGTCCAAGCCAGCTCCATCGCCCACAGCTACACACCCTTCACAGTAATGGCAGCCTTCACCCTAGTGGAGAGCTGCACCATGGAGCAAGAGGAACTATAGTGGGTGCCCCGTGTGGGTCACAGGAAGATGGCCAGAGTCAAGGCACTTTCAATCTGCTTCCTCCTCCTTGTCTCAGGGAGTCAGCGAGCGAGTGCGCTCTCTTCGCGAGCAGAGTCTAGGGTTCCTGCAGCCCTCCTGTTAGTCCCACTGGTTTTCAAGCCAGCTAATGGGACTCCTCTGCCCAGCGTCAGACCCTAGGGCTGGGGTGCCCAGTTTGTGGTTTGAACCACCCACTCCCCAGGGAGGATCTCAGAGCCCATGTAATCCCCCTCTTCCTCTGTGTCCCCTTGCAGGGATGCAGGTCCTGACCTGACTGTTTCTCTTCTCTTCCTACCCAATTCCGTGTAGATCTTGCTTTACAGCCTTGGCTGTGTAAGAGCGTATCAGTCTCCAGTGTGTTTTCAGCGAGAGTTGCTCCTCGTGGAGATGTATTTTTGATCTGTTCGTTGGGGTGGGTGAACTCAGCATCTTCCTTCTCTGCCACCTCGATCTCCCCCCTCCTCGGTGATCTAGTCGTATGCCCACAATTCAGATAAGGAAACTTAGGATCATGAAGATAAAATTGGCAGTCAGGGGCTTCCCTGGTGGCGCAGTGCTTGAGAGTCCGCCTGCCGATGCAGGGGACACGGGTTCGTGCCCCGGTCCGGGAAGATCCCACGTGCCGCGGAGCGGCTGGGGCCGTGAGCCATGGCCGCTGAGCCTGCGCGTCTGGAGCCTGTGCTCCGCGACGGGAGAGGCCACAGCAGTGAGAGGCCCGCGTACAGCAAAAAAAAAAAAAAAAAAAAAAAAAAAAATTGGCAGTTAGGAGGAATGCACGAGAATAGATCCAGGGATTCCAATTATTCAGCTATTACTTGAATAAGATGGTCTCGATTTGGATCAAAAAGCCTAGCCTCCTTTCTGAAGAGAGTAACAGTGATTAGTCAAAGCCTCAAATAATTCACAGCTCCCCTACCCACATGGTTGTTTGGAACACGTAGTTGGTGAGCTCTAGTGTCACCCAGCTTGGTGCTACCAAGCTTTGGATGTAGACATATGTTGGTGCCATACCGAGAGAGAGACAGAGACAGAGACAGAGAGAAAGTGTTTGGCCTGTAATGCAGGACTTCTGTCCTGAAATTGTGCTGTAAAGGGGCCTACTTCTCAAAATCAGGTTTTGAGCATACCTGTATAGATAAAATTTTATCCTCAGGGTGAGAATAAAATGAGTTTTATGTTCCTTACACACTCATTGCCTGGGTGTTCCACACAGCCACTGGCACAAGCTGGGTAGCAAGTTACAAAGCGCTTGGCAAAAGCCAGCTGTGTCACAGTATGTGCAAGTGGGAACTGACAGGTTAATAACACAACTGCAAGGTTTCTTTGCGTCTAGACTGCTTTTGATTTTTCAAATCCCTCTCATAGCAAATTTTCATTCATCTGTAATCACTGTAGTCATGACAGAATCTCGTTCAGTTTTTAAACCAGGGCGAGATTGTAACTCCCCTGTTTCAGACAGAGAGTTTAGATTCAGAGCAGTGAAAGCTTTTCTCAGTCACAGTGGCAGATGGAGAAATGGCCAGAAAGGTATCTCAGTCTCCTGACGCTTTTATTAGATAACTCTGGATTACCCTGTGTCTCAAAGCTTTGCTTGTTTACCCAAACCCCCTCTTTGCAGCATCTCAGAGATTCTGGACAAGGTGCAAGAAGATGCAGAAGATGTCCTTTTCAGTCTGGGCTTTGGCCAGGAGGACCACAAAGACACTTCTCGAATTCCTGCCCGATTTTTCACCACTCCGTCTCAGGCCAAAGGCATTGATTTCCAGCTCTTCCTGAAGTCCCAGGTGCGGAGGATTGAAATGGAAGACCCGTGCCTCATGCTGGCCAGTGAGTGTTACCACAGATATATGCTCAACTTCTCTCCCAGCCTGCAGTCATTCACAACAGGGATCAGTGGCTCTAAATACTACTTTCTCTTGGCCAGCTTCACTCGACCCTTTGTCTCTTGTGTCTGTTTCTTCCTATGCTGCCTTCAGTGAAGATAGAGAACTCTGACTTCTCTTCTCTCTCTTGAAGAAATTGTCTTCAAGAGACCTCATATCACTATTACTTTCTTTAGATCTTCTCTCTTTCAGCTGAATCAAATAGGAACAATGTCTTTAAATCTTGTCCCCATTTTCTATTTCTCAGTTGGAATTATTGAATGTTCCCCATTTATAGCCACTACATTAAAATCATTTCCATTTAGGGCAGTGGTTCTGTTAATTATGTTAAATTGTGCAGGAGTTAATCAAACATTCATATTCATAGGCTTTTCTTCCAGAGAAGGAAGGGCTCAGGAATATTTATGTTAAGTAAGCACGCCGATGATTCTTATGTATAATCCTTAGACCACGTCTAGGGAAACAATGATTTAAGTTGTCCCAGTTCCATACTAAGGAAAGATATGAGAGGGCTTCTCTACCTGGATGAGGGATAAAAGACTCTATTTTATTCTATGTGTTACAATATATTTCAAATTATATTCTTTTACAGCCCCCCAACATAGTGTTTCTGACCGTGCTGTTTCAGATTCCTTGCAACAGATTCAACTTAAAAACTTGGTAAAACTACGCTTCTGAGCTCCACCTGCTGGAACAAGGATTTTGAGTTGGAGTATTTGCACAAGCATTTTAGATGATTCTTTCACACACTAAAGATTGAGGATGACTTATTGAATTTATTTTATGTGCCAAGTACATAATTAGTTGTTAAATTCTGGAAGGACAGCAGCTAGGCAAGAGAAACATGATTCTTGCCTTTAGGACACTTACAGTTTAAGGGATATATGGTTTATCACAGTGCTTTTCCAACATGGGTGTATGTGTGAATTACTGAAGGATATTGTTAAAATGTGTGGGATACAGTCTGAGAGTCTGTATTTGCAATAAATTCCCAAGTAATGCCAATGCTACTGGACTACTGGCCACACTTTGAGAAGCAAAGTCTAGCAGAAATGATATAGTCCATCTAAATTTCTCTACCTCTGTCCATTGCCTAGTAATTGCTATCCCTCAGATTTGCTGCTATCAAAGAAGACTTCTATAACCCTAAAGTTTTCTTACTAAGAAAATAATGTTAATTTTGCCCTTTTTAGTCATGTTTGTCATCTAAGGCAAACACAGTGATAGAGACCATTGTATACTGACAGCAGAAAGGATATGCTAAATCAAGATACAGAAAAGTTTTTCATCCCGTATAGAATTAATTTTTGGACTATTTGGGATAGGGAGTCAAAAAGTCAAGAAGGTCAAGAAAGAGAATCCTGGGTGTCAGAAATCTAAATGGGAGAAACGCTGGTAGAGAAAATGGCACCTTCTTTCTGAATTTTGAGTTTTAGGAAGGCTGTTGAAGGGAAAGATTCAAGAAGTAATTGGCTGATGACCCCCTAGACTCACCGTCTTCAACTCTTGCACTCAGGCAGGTTTAAGCAAGTGCAAACACTGGCCGTCACCGCCGATGCCTTCTTCTGTCTGTACTCCTACGTATCTAAGACCCCTGTCCAAAAGTTCACACCATCCCACATGTTCTGGAATTGCAACGCAACTGATGTGCCATCCATCAAGATTCTGGCCCCAGAACCTGAACCTCACTCACCCAGAGAGCGCCTCCGGAAAGCCATCTCCAAGATGTGCCTGTACACGTGCCCACGAGATAGGCTATCACCACCCGACCACACCCCCAAAAGGAACAGTTTAGACCAGGTGGTGTGGGAAGTGATGGACAGAGTGCGAGGAGAGAAGTTGGTCCTCCAGCAAGACCCTGGGTTTGGGCCAGTCCCACAGGGAGATCCTGTGCCCCCCATCAGGGGCACAAAGCTGCCCACTTCTTCCTGTCCATGTGCCCTCTGCTTTAAAGAGGAAACACAGCAGGGGATGTCCACATTGCAAGAACCATCAGAAACTCTGGATTCTAACCCCTGTTGCACACATTCTCTGCCCAGAGCAGATCTACAGTGGAGCACAGACCCTGCACAGGTAAAGAGACAGCTGTGGGGTCTACAAGCCACCAGTAAGGAAGCCCATTCAGCCAAGGATGAGACCTTCTGGAAAAGAAAGAGCAGAGCAAGAAAGAGTCTGTTTCAGAAGAATCCCATGGGCAGGAAGGTTAAATCCCTGGACCTGTCCACCATCCAACAGAAATGGAAACAGGGCCAAGAGAGAACAGAACTGCACCGATCTCTAACCCAGCAGCTGCAGGACACTTTGGTCTTGGAGGTGAGTGGGTTGAAAGTGAGGGAGAGGCTGGCAGAGAAAGGCTCTGGATTCCTTCCCTTGGGTAAAGGAAATCCAGGCTCCTTTTCCTTGCCAGATATATCAATTCTTTTTTATTTATTTATTTATTTATTTTATTTTTTCAATTCTTGAATTATATTCAGAAACCTTTGGGAATGGGTTAATATACAAGGAGGGAGAAAAAGAAATGAGCCTGGTTTCTTAAGAGTGCCCAGGTTTCTAGCACTATTTTTCTAATTCCTTATCTAATCTGATCTTCATTGAAGTTTCTCATCAAGCACACCTGCCCCTGTCATTTGTGGGATCCACACAAGAGTACAGATAGAGGTTACACACTAGGCTAAACACGAGTAAATAAAATCTTCTCTTCTACCTTGACAAGCATGTAACCGCAAAGTCCTAGAAGTTCAGGTTCAAATCTAGAATTCTCACTCTTAGGACTTCAGTGCTAGAACATGGCAGGGTGGGCAGAGACCCTCCCCATCCTGTCCCCTTCTCTTCCCATGGCCAGATCTGCCCTGCACCATAAGGGATTTTGCACATACATATGTGAACACCCCAGCCTGCATATACAAATGCCACAAACCCCCTACCCACACATATAACCACCATTAGTCATCCCTCAGGCCTGGGAGTGCATACACTAGGAGAAAGGCTGGTCTTTGAGAGAACAGACACGAGGCAAAGCCAATGCATTTCCCTGAAACAGGCTTGGGGCCATTTGAATAGCATTTGGGGGTATTCTGGGTATCCAGAGCATGGTCTAGAAGGGGTAGTACAAGATCAAAGTGGACACATCCTCTAGGTCCACCAACTCTTCATCCTGTGAGCTCTCTAAAACTTGGAATTCTTCTTGCCTGGGTCTATGGACAGTACTGCCATCAAGTGCTAGAGTCTCGAGGAAAAGCCCTCAGATCCTTGCCACAAAGAGAAGCCATGATGATTTGCAGTGTCATTTGCATGTATGTCACCTCTCATTGAATGTAGAGCTGTTCCTGCCTTCCTCACTACCAGGCTCCTACCACAAGAGAAGAGGCCAAGTCTCTCAAGTACATTCAGCCTCTTTCCTTTACAGGTATCTGCCATTCTGCACTTTTCTCCAACACTGGCACTGACTGAGTTTTGCCGGGATCTTGGTTACAGGTGCAAAGCAACAGTGAGGAGGAAGAGAGCCACTGGCCCAGCAGATCCAGAAACCACCACCTCTACCAGACTTTTGCTGGCAAAGACTCAGGAAGTAAGTGAAGTGGATCTCTCTCTCTCTCTCTCTCTCTCTCTCGTGTGTGTGTATGTGTGTGTGTGTGTGTTTCTCAAACCTCACTGCACATTGTAAGCACATGGGAAGATTTTTAAAAATACTCACAGTGAAGTGTCCCACATCCTGCCTTCTGATTTAATTGGTATGGCGTGGAGCCCAGGGACTGATTTTTTTTGTTTTAAACCTCCTAGTGTAATTCTATTATGGCTGGATAAATACTTTTCTAGATCAGTGGTTCTCAAACTTTAGCATCAAAATCACCTGGAGGGCTTGTGACACTACAGATGGCTGGGTCCCATCTCCCAGAGTTTCTGATTGAATAGATCTGGACCGGGCCTAGGAATTTGCATTTCTAACAAATTCTCAAGTGATGTCAATGCTGTTGGTCTGGTGATCACAGCCTGAGAACTGTTGCTCGGGGGGAAAATTCTGTATAACCTTAATATTCAAAATGTAGTCTGCAGATCAGCAGTATTAGCATCATTTGGGATTTTGTTAGAAATGTGGAATCCCAGCCCTTCCCCACCCCCGACCTAATGGATCAAATTTTATTAAGATCCTTAGGTGATTTACTTGCACATTGAAGTTTGAGAAGCATTGTAGTTTGCAACAGGTGAAGACCAACCAGATGAAGACCAACCATGGAGATTTATACCCCAGCACCTGCTTTTAGCTACTTTCTAATCAGCCCAAATCATAGGACTTAGGCAAGAGTCCTCAATGTATCTCACATGTATGTTCATTTAGGCTCTGAGTTCCATTCTGCAGCTAGGGTCTGATGTACATAGCTCTCCTTCTCTCCTCAAGGAAGGACAATGAATCTCACGTAGGTAGTTATTGCAGCTAAAATGTCTTTCCTCTAGATATGAATTTCGAGTATTAACTCTTTCAGAGCTTTCCTTTAGTTTTTTGAAAATTTTGACTAAAGTTTTATTATTTAAACTAAGCAGAAATTAATCTCCTGGTACTTCAACTGACTATCCACTAGGACCACAGAGAATATGGCATCATAGATAATGATTTTTAATCATCTTGCTTAGGGTTCCCTCCATTTTGAACGTCTTAGTACTATTTACTGCACTTCCTAGTCCAATAGCTTTTTGTTTGACACCAAAATTTCATTGTTACTGGTCCAGAATCGCAAAGGTCTTTATGATTCCAACTCCTTTAATTCTAATTATCTGTGGGTTTAGGGTCCTCATCACTCTACATTCTCTCTTACCCATAACTTTCATCTCCAGATATATAGCTTGTATGTATCAGTCACTCACAAAAGAGGTAAAATGTCAGAAGACAGCAATCTACTATATGTAGTTGAAAAAATTTAAGATGTGGAGTCAAATGACCTACCTCCTACTAGCTCAGCAATCTTGCCAAACTCACTTAACTTTGTTTGCTCCTATGAAACCTGACAGAGAGTTTGTGTAGGTAATGCACCATATGCTGGAATAACCGTTACAACGTTGCTGTTGCTACTGATTTTAGAAAAGGTAATCATGGGCAAAATATTTAGATCAGTGAATCCCAGCCTTACAGGCTTTTAAAAAAATTGCTATTTCCTGGGCTCCACCTAATAAAATTAAATACAAATCTCTTAGGTTTGGACTTGGGCATCATTGTTTATTCTTCTTTTAAAGTTTCCTCGTGTTAGCAGTTACCTATTTTTGCATAATAAACCACCCCAAATGTAGTGACTTAAAGGAAAACTTATTTATGATTTCTTGCTGTTTCGTGGGTTTACTGGGGGGGGATTCTTCTGCTTGGTTCATCTGGGTTCACTTATGCAGCTGTTTTTGGCTAGTTGACTGGGCTGGACTAGAAGGTCTAAATGGGCTCACCCTATTGGCGCTGGCCTTGGTGCTGAATCTCTCTGCTGACCGGCAGGCAGGCAGGCACTCTCTCCATGTGGTGAGTCATTCTTCAGTAGTCTAACTTGTCTTTCTTACGTGGATGTTCAGCAAAAACTGAAGTCGCAGTGGCTCTTTTTAAGGATATGTTTTAAGTTGTACAGTGCCCCCTCTACCACATGTTATTGCTGAAATCAAAGCACAAAGCCAACCTAGATTCAAAAGGAAGGAAAACAGACTTTACTTTTTAAAAAGGAGTGGCAAAGTCACACTGTGAAAAGGCAATGTGGAATGGGAGGGTTGCTGTGGCCATCTTTATAAACAGTCTCTCACAGACAGTGATTCTGACACCCCATGAGGGTTAAGAAAGACTAGTTTAATTAAAGGGCTTTATCCTCACATATTAAAGTTGCCCTGAGGGTAAGCTGTCATTCTAAAGCTCATTGAAACTCAGCCACAGCATACAAAATTTGAAAAGAAAATTAACTGCTAAACTTATAAAATTCGAATAGAAAATGTGGAGTATATGCACCACAGCTAGGTTTCCCTGCCAAAAATTTTAATTTATTCTAAAATAGCAAAACAAAGCTTTGCTCAAGTGTTACTTGTCCAGCAGATGTCAGCCTCGCACAAGAAAATGCCGATTTGTCCAGCAAAGCAGGCTGTGTAGGATCTATATGATTATACCTTTCTAGACAATTCATGCAATACCCAAAACGTCAGTTCCTCTCACAAACGTCCCATCTTTGACTAAAGGTCAGTATACAGAAAGATTGGAATTGAGTTGCCAGGGAGGAAGTTTCTAGGAGTTAAACATTTCAAATAAGTAACTAGATGTAACTAGACTCCATTTTCTGCTAGGTGATGGGATTTCATTACAGCAGGAGTTACTGTGTTTAGAGATGCTGTATTTCACTTATTCTAAGATGTACATTTTTCTGCACTTGAATATCTCTGAAATAGAATGGGTCTAACAGTTGGCAGTGTCAACCAATATACTTGTGTGTGTGGGTGTATATATATATATATATATATATAATACATATATTTGTCTTCTTAATGGAATACAAAATTAATTATGTCTTACAAACAATGTTTTATCAGATTCAATGAAACACAGTAACTTTAGAAATTCAATGCACTTAGCCTCTCAGGTAAATGAGGAGGTGATTTTATAGATTTTCCTTTTATGATTCCCCTAGAAAAATGAGAGATCTCTCCTTCACTGACACAGACTTCAGCTGAGGCAGGGGGTCACAGTGGTTCCCAAATCATTCCAATGTTCTATGAGTTTCTTTATTAATCTTCTCACAAAGCTATAAGCTATCTCTCTCAATCCACTCCTCTATCATCCTCTAAGAGATCACATGGAGTGGGAAGTAGCTATGAAAACAGCTCAGCACTGGCAAGATTAAAGACTGCATAAGAAACACGGATAGGGAAATTCACTCACCACCATCAAAGGCAGAACTAGGTGGGACAGTTCCTCAGATCTACTGCCCCTTCCAGGATCTGTAATTATCTCCCAGGATCTCTGTATCTAGTCCCAGGTGTTAATCTACTACTTGTTGTCAAGCATAGGAGAGGTGCAAGCATGGATAGAAAGTGGTAGCAGCACCCAGCCAGTAGCTGTGTCTAGTTGTGTGGTCCTCACATTTCACAAAGACACTCACTTGAAGAGGCAAATAGGGGTTGGAACCCAGCTCTACTGAGCTTACCTTCCATAATCTCAAGGGTCTTCTTCTTCTAAGAGAGAGTTTATTTTTTTCCCCTAATTTATCTATATAAGATGAGCACCTTTCTGCAATTAGCACAAGGGCACATTTTCTGTTAAAAGAGGATCTTGTTCCCAGCTATCAGCTTTCATCCCTCCCACTCCATCTTTTAGTCTCTTCCAGAGAAATCTTAATCTTCCTCCAAGTTCCTGGCAAAGAATGACACTCATCCCTCATAATTTGCACCTTGCTCAAGAATTTCAACTTCATGGCCCTTTTATTGGTGCCCTGTTGCTGAAATTTAAATCATTTGACCTTTACCACATTTATGAGAAGCACTGCTAAGGAGAATATTTTTATTTTTATTTTGTTGTTGTTGTTGTTTCTTTTACCAGATCTGAGGTAGTACAGCATAATATATATCCTGTTTGTGAAGTGATCATATCTAGAAGTGAGAGGTTTCATTTTATTATCAACACTGCTAGCAGCAGTGGGAGAAGAGTCAGGAAGGATTAGGTGGGGAGGCTGGTGCAGAGCACAGGATAAAGAAGAGAACTAGTCTGAGATAATCCCAAATGGTGGGTAACTCAACACACTATCTGTTTGTGCTTGGTGGAAACTCTGTGAGCCAGGTAGCTACAGACTTGCTCCTTGATGAAAGATTTTGCCATATGATAATATTAACAATAACAAATATATATACTGCTTATTACATGTCATACACTATATCCTTAGTACTTTGTGGGAATTAAATCATTTAATCCTGTGATTTCGGTTGCTTTATTGTTCCCCATTTTATAGGTGATGACCCTGGGCACAGTTATTTTTATACCAAAATAAATTCTCAAGAGGAACTATCAGATAGGAAGTGTAGGGAGAGACAAGAAAAGGGAGAGGAAAGAGAGAGAGGACTATGAGAATGTGATAATTATTTTTCTGCCTCATTTACATTTCTTACCAAGGTTGTTTTGTGTCTGCGGGGTAAATATAATTAAAAACAAAACCTTCTGCCACCCCAGAATCCCTCTCCGGAAAGGTATAAGAGAAAGAAAAAAGTTATGTTTTTGAATAAACATTAAACCAGAATATGATGTGCATCACAGGCAAAGGATGTGCTAAAGAGATTGCAGAGACAGGAAGGGGTCTTACCCTCTTATATATCCAAGAAGATACAACCCATTACATACATGTTGTCAAAATAAACAGTAACTAGTCCTCAAGTAAGAGGACTTGACAGCACCATTTTTCACACATAGTTCATCCTAGATTCACCTGATAACTGAGGTGGCCAACCATGTTAGCTTATTGCCTTTAGCCAAAGGAATAATAAATACCTCTCACGTTTTTATGGCAATTCGTGGTTTTGCAGTTGGAGCCAGGCATCTAAGTTAGACTGGAGACTGGGAGATGGGGGTTC